CCTGCAATAAATTACATATGATTGGCCATATACAAAGGGATTGCTGTTAGGCAAGCAGGGAACTGCAGTGCCAGGCTCTCTAAGGGCACTCATGATCCCAGTGCAAGACTGCAGCTGACATTTAATTTAAAAATCAAAGGTTGTTCAATGCAAAAAGTGAGCCCATGTGACCATAATAAGAAAAGCAGCAGGGGGCTCTGTGGGAAGGATGGAAATTTAAAAATCACTGTTTCTAATAAGCACATACAGTATCTTAAACAGATAATTAAAGAGCTCTTATCACATTTGTATGTAGATTGAACAAAATATGGCAAGATGCCTTGTCAAAACATTTTCCGATGCAGTGTGCTACGCTTCACAAAATGGATGAAAGACTCTGACAGAATTTCAGACCTACCACTGCAGATTTCCCAGCCACCTCACACGCCTAAAGCACAGTGCTGACCTGTCGGGTTACCATGTCTAGCAAAATAACTACCTAAGCAAGTCTTCCGGATTGTCTTCCCCCCTATTCCACAGACAGAACAGGAATGGATGAGGATAAGCAAGTGCAACAGAGACCTCGCGTCTGACTCGCAGTTGCATCCTGAGCAACATCCAACACATTGTTGGTGACGTGAACTCACAGCTTCATTTCTCCAACACACTCCCCCGGCTAAAAACCTAAGTGTGAAACATCTGCTGGAAAAACCCTCTTTGCCCCATGAACCTTGCTCAGGTACCTGGTCCTGGAGGTGGGTCTCTGTGCAGTACTTCCATTGCTGAAACACCTCCGAGAGTTTATCCAGGCCACCATGGTGAAAATGGAAGATCTTGTACTGGCTCTCCCTGCTCGCAACAACCAGCTGCCCACAGGTGCATGCCTCATCACTGTGGGACAAGACAACGGGGAGAACAATCTGCATTTAGTGCCCAGGATAACGAGGGCCCCAGTGGGAAGGGGGGACCTCAGATGAGAGAGAGTGGAAAGCAAATTACAAAGACGTGTAGCACCAAGTTGCCCCTTAAAACAGGGCGCAAAAGTAACTTTACAGCTCTGGGACTCGATGATCCTTATGGGTCCCTTCCAACCTGAGATATTCTACCACTCTATGACATGGCCATAGTGACCATTTTCCCAAGAAGCTCCACTCGTGCCTGGTAATGGCACTCTTTTATCCTTCCATCATGAGAAGGAATTAAATATTGTCTTCCCTGGAGAACAAAAACTCAAGAAGTCTGCCCCAGCACCATCAAGGCAGTATGCAGAGTCAGCTCCTAGGGAGGAGCGGACTTGGTCGCACACAGCATTGTCTAAAGAAGCAGGGAGTGAGAGCAAAAAGAGGGAGTAAAAATGTTTTTAATAACTTTTGTAATAATTTGAAAGATACCTGAAGAGGCTAAGAGCAGCAAGACCCTAGAGGAGCCCTGGTGAGGGGCAGGCAAGGGAGAAGGTACCATGGATAAACAAATGTTTTCCACACCTCCACGTTATTGTAAACATTTTTGGTAAGACAACTAAGAGCAAGCTTTACCTTACTAAGGGAAAAAAATCCTTTTAGGCCCCACAACTGTAACTCAGAGGCTCTCCTGGGGAAGGCTGACACTTGCTTTCCTGAAAAGACTTCCAAGGAGGATTGCAGAAGCCATCTGCCCCCAGAGCCCAGTGCGCACTGGTCCAAGGCACACACAAGTATCCCACACAGTAATACATTACCTAAAGAAGAGGCGAAGGGATCTCATTTGTCCGAGGTCCACTCTAAAGACACCACAGACCTGCTCGAGGGCAAATACTTTCTGCTGTTCGTCCCATCTGGTGCTCTGCGTTTGCCCATTATTCTCCTGGAACTGGGCACTGGTGTCGAGGCTGGAGGCAGAGCTGGTGGAGCAGGTCATGCGATTGTCACACGTGTCCCTGCAGACAAGAGCGTGGAGGAAGACAGCCCCGCAAGACATCAGCCAAAGACCGCAGTTGCATGCAATAACCACAAATGCTCTAAATTAAAAATCTTTTGACAGAGCTCTGAAACTGGAATTCAGTGCAGGTCTAAGGAGTCAATAACCGACAGCCTACGTAGCAGATTAAATTATTTTTATTTACATCAACTCCCTACTGTCCCAACCAACGATCCTATTTTTGGTCTGTTCTTAAATTGCACACGGAATCAGGGAGAGCGAAAACCGTTCCTCAAAACACTGACTTTTGTGAAGGCAAAATGAAGAAGCCCAGCGTGGGAACAGCCCGGGCTGCTCCGAGGCACAGCCCATCCCCTGCTCCTTGGGTGCAGCACAAAGACCAGTTTGGGATCCCACCAGCCCAGCAGGCACTTGCCTGCCCTCCAGCCCACGCCACAGCGCCCTGCACTGCAGGACCCCTTCAAACCATTACACCTCTGGGAATGATGACCCCTCGGGATGCAAATTACTGGGCCATTGGAAAAACAAGACCGCAGAAGCACAGGTGCTCGACAGGCTGCTTCTGCAGCTCCAGCAGCACTCAGTGAGTAACTTCCAAAGGAAGAGACTTCTTGCCCCACAGCTCAAGCAACCTCCTCAGCACGCAGCTCAGCTGCTCCGCGCCCGGCCGGGGACAGGAGGAGGGAGCGCATTCAGACAGCAGCACTGACTAAGGATCTCATCTGGCAAATTCCTTCTGTGACCAGTAAGACCCAAAGAAATTTCCCCTGAACTCGAGTTTCTCATTACGCCTTTGCAAGCGGACCTGACAAGCCTGGACTCATGTGTATAAACTTCAGACAAATGGTTTCCGTTTGCAAACTTGAAACTTTGGAGAGTTAAGGAGTGGGAAATTACACACGAGCTCTTTAACCCACCGCAAAGCAGAGAGAGTGAACCCGACCGTTTTCCAATACGCTAGGAGCTCACTGCGCCCCAGATATTTATCTTTAAGAGTAAACTGAGTTTAGATTAAAAAAACCCACATGCCTGCCTCCAGCCCTGATCCCAAAAGAAAAATATCACTGCTTTGAGAATTAAGTGAATCTGAAACTGTGACCCCTTGATTCTTAAAAAGGCCAATACATGTGAACAATCTCAGCGCAAGCTCTGAATGGGTTCCGCTGTGAAATCAGGGTTTGCAAAACAAGGCAAGTAGCAGGTATAAAGACAGCCCCCTGCAATGCCACTTTATGCAATGTTTTCTAATCCGCTTATCTAACAATGTAGGCACTGAACGCTGAAAATCACACACTCAGCATGCATCTGCAGCACACCACATCAGTATGCTTTCCAAGCCTGGCTACAATGCCTCTTCCACAGGGACGAGCCTTATTTGCAGCATCTACCCATGGTTCAGGTCATTGCATTCCAGTGGACAGGCCTCTGGACATCCCAGTTAGTTGTGGGTTACATTTTTAACCGAGCCCCTGTGAGCCGCCCAGTTCAAATGTACGACTCAAAACCTGAGCACCCACACGCATGGGGAATAAATCCCCAAGCCCCCTTCTCTAGTTCTGCAGCATTATGTGGATGAGATGAAGTCTGGTTTACTTTCAGCTAAAAGAGCAGCTTCACTACTCTGTGAACTTGTGCTGCTCCATTTTTCTGAAAACAAGCACCGAAGCAAACTTACAGTTAAGCTGTTTAGAGATGGAGGCCTTAGAGTGACATGGCAGTATCGCCATGCGAGCAGGGATCACGCGACATACCCAAACTCACCCAAAGAGGAACGATAGCAGTTTTTCTAAGTTAGACATCGGGATATTTCAGGTCTAAAGCGCTGCTATACACCATCACCTGCACCTTGTGAATTTTTCCATGAAAATCATACTGGGCTTTGTGAAAAATCAAGCATTACTTTCTGATAAAGCTGCAAAATATAACACTTTCTAAAACATTCAGTATCTCATGTTTACGCAAAAGTAATAAGAGTCCTGGTACGAGACACTTGTGTTGGACTGCTCGCTATAAGCAGCTGGTATTTATGGAGCAACACTTCGGAACAGCCACAGCTGGTTACACAGGATTTTCCTGGAAGAGATGACTAAAACTAGTTTAAAGACTAAGCAGAGGCAACCAATTTTCTAAAACTCTTGCAAAGATGAACTGGTCAGTACGACAAAGGGCTGGAAGACACGTTGGCTCTGAGGATCGCTGTCCTGCGGTTCCCTCGTCACAGAGGCCAACGTGCCCGTTCTTCAAGAGCATCATCTCAAATGACCAGTGACAGACGACTGCCAAGACCCGACAGCTACCAGCAGAGCTGGGCAGGCTCACTTTGGTCCTCAGCACAGAATGCTATTGCCAGCTGCAGTTCCTTCTGCTACCTAACCAAAATCTGCTTCAGATACCCAAAAACTCAGAGGCTGAGTCACAAAGGCGCTGGCAATGGCGTATTTTCTGGAAATGCTTCTTCAAGACAAATGTTTATAGTTCATGTTCAGCCACTAGTTACAAGCTTGCACACGCATCCAACATACACGGAAGCAATTCGAGGCAACGCGTGTAAGTGGATTTACCCTTTCTGCACAGCAAAAAGCCAGCGAGTGTAAGCACGGTGCCTCAGAGCATGCAGCCCAGGGAAATCCCGAGGTTTTCACTGATGTAGAAGATGAAATCTGAGAGAGACATCTGTGCGCTCCATGCCCTTCAGAGAGGTCGATGAACAAGGACGTTCATACATAGTACAGATGCAGTGAGAGTACCACCTCATACATTGGTGCATACTCAGTCACTGTGGAAATTAAGAAAAAAAAAATCGCTGTGTTGAAAATTACTTTTTCCTGTATATATTGACTGAAAAAAAATTGAAAAGGTTCTAATCTGTTGGACTACTTTTTAAAATAATTTTAATATTGAGATCATTCTGTACTTAAGTAGGAACAAGTAGTATGATCAATGCTAATGTTGTGGATTTGGGGTAGTGCTCTAAATATGCACACAAGATACACAGATGCAAGGGAAGAAGTCTCCAACTTATTATTTATCAACGTCAGACTATCATATCTGTTAGATGAGGGATTTATACCAGAGAACCCTGCAAAAGCAGGGAGCTGAAGCACTGCAAGGCAAATAGCTGGAGGAACATTCCAGAGAGACTTTGGGTTGTGGGATCCAGAAAAAACAGAGTATACAGCACTGCTCAGCAAAACAAGAGAACAAGTGCCATGGTCCACGGGAATAAAAGGGACAGGGAAAAAAAAATAAGGAGGATTAGCAGAACTTGAGGTGGGAAACCCACGGACATATTCACGATTCCACTTCAGCCTTTTTCCCTTACTGAAGACCCGTTACTCTTTTGTCTCAAAATACATCTCATTCTTGCTGGTGAGCAAGACCAGGTGGTGACGTCTTTTCTCCACGCAACAATCAACTACAGCAATCAACCATATCTACATTCCTTGAGCTTGCGTAGCTCCTAAGAAAGAAGTACTTGGTAAGGCAGCCCCCGTCCTCCTCCTACCACGGAACCTCTCTCGCACGCCCGATCCGAGGAGGTCAGCCACACTCAGCAAGGGAGACTTTCGATGTGCACTAGTGTCGTAATGGGACCTGACTTGCTGTTCAGTCAAAGGATTTTGTACACACCTACAGCATAAAGACATAAACCCAATTATTATTTCTGTTATAGAGCCAGGGCAGACACCTGCACCAATTACATGGGAAGACTATTTCAGCAACCAAGATCTAAAAACTCATTTTACGACACAATGGGACAAATGTAATTATAAGAGGGAAAGAGAT